CAGTTCCCAATAAGTTCAGTATCTATAATGCTAATATGAGTTGATGATGTTAATACACCTCGATCAATAGATAAACCATAAGAATTGTCACGTATTGAGCATGATTTAACAGTAATAGTAACATGATTATTACTAAATTGAATATGTGGACTTGTTTGAAAAATAAATCCATTATTACTATTGTTGTGAAATTGGGTGTCTTGAATTACAATAGTTGATCTTGATTCAACACCTTTAATATTACAATAATATGATCTCTGTGGAAGCATGATGCCATCTGGCACAGGAACAAAGTCAAATCCAACATATGCCACAAATGAAAAAAAAATTCCACCCCCTGAATAAGATAATGATGAATTGGTAATATACAGAGAAAAAAGAGATCCTGTGAATTGATAATGAACACCATAACTCAATGTACTGATGATATTGACGTTATCAAAGATAATTGATATATTATATGAGATACCATGATCCATCCAACACACTATAAAAAAGTAATCAGTAGTCGCAGTAACATTAGTCAGTGTTAATGAGTAATGGTGTAACTCATTGTAACACACTGGAGGTAGGGAATAATGAATGTGTAGGTGTACACTATCAAAAACTGAAGTTGCTATCTTACTATCAAAAACATTGATAAAACCAAAAAAACAATTGACAAACAAACCAGTAATCGTAATATTACTTAAATATTCAAAACCTATGACACATTCTCGGAATGATATGTTACTGAAACTGACATGACTACTGTTACTGATGCTTATTGAATACCAATAATAACTTGAGCAGTAGATAGTAGGAGATTGGTCCAGTCCATGTAGAGTTATATTCTGTACTGAGTCCATTGTGACAGTAAAGTTAATGACACTAGTTCCAATGAAGTAGAAGATGGTGTGATTGTATTGAGACATATTCCCAGCATACACTGATAAAGGATTACAAGGTGACTGAGTAACTGAACTGCAGTCATCAGACACATAATACTGACCAGAGGAGACACTGCAGGAGCTACTGAAGAATAAGAGAAAAACCACTAACAGGAGAGACATAGCTACTGTCTGTACTGACTGACTAGTGTATACTTGCAGGCTGTGAGTGATGACTTATATAGACTACTTGTTCTCCAAATATGGAAATCTGATGCATATTTGTAATAATTGATGGTGTTCATGTCATCTTTACTAATTCTCAATTTATGACTGTAATTTTTTGAAGTTAATTAGCTTTAAAGAAATGCATAACTTAATGTAGTACATTTAACTTCATTTGTATTTGCTGAAATCAATCATTTTTCTATATTTCTCCTACTCCATTTTCTCATCTTGTTTATTACTGTGTATGCATAGTGTAGTTATGTATAATGTGGTTTATAATGTTAGTAAACTAAAACACTTGTTGTGATTCATGTACTAAGTCACCATCATGCATCCAGTTGCAATGTATGTATCCTGACTTTGAAGAGAGGGTGTAGCGAGAGGAGAGTTATAGTGGTTAAAATGATATTCTGCTTTGCTTCAATGATTATGTGGTGGATTATGTGACTGAATCATAAGAACATTCATGTATTAGAAAAATTATGAAAACAGACTTAACAGAGTGGGATTCTCCGGTTTTATCATTTTTGGCAAAATTTGACCAATAATCCTATGATAGTACAGTGGCGACTTTGGCCCAATTATTGAGCAACTTTTAAAATCCATAAAAATTCAATTTTAATTTGCGGAATTATCGAAACTTTTCATAACTGAGAACATGTATAATGTGTATCAGAAAAAAAGAATTATAAATTGAAAGCAGAGAATTCTCACCTTTTCATTTTTGGCCAATAACCCTGTACTAGATTAGTCTCGCTAGCCAGCCCATACTGCCCATTCCCCAGCCTGAGCCTACAGCCTCGGACTGCCTACAGTCACTGTAGCCTACAGTGACTGTAGGCTGGGGAATGGGCTGGCTAGCGAGACTGGTACTAGATCTATCCGCAGTACAGTGGCCCAATTTTTAGCAACTTTAAAATAATTCATAAAGATATTTTGATCAGAATTTTCTATTCAGCATAATTCTATTTCTCTAGACCTTCAATCTGTGAGTGTTGTTCGGTTCAAGCATAGATATTATAGACTACGTAACCATTTTATTTTTGTATCAAAGAAAAATATAAACATGTGCGTATATTATAAGAGCCCAAGTACAGGTGAAATAGCTTGCGGGACTTCACTAGAGACCATTCTTTCCAGCCATGTCAGGCATTTTCGTCCGCCTCTCACTGTCACAGAGACTGTACCTGAATAGTTACATTGATTTGAATGGGATCACGTGATCTGTTTCCAATCCCAGTTACGTAGTCTATAATATCCATAGATTTAATACACAGACCTATGAATATATATATATTCATAGAATATATATATATATATATCAATATATATAGCACAATGATGACATCATTCCTTTGATGTGGTGGGTTCTATATTTTGTATATAGACCTGCCATGCAGAAATGCTGTCATCATTATGCCATATATCATATATAGTATACTAGAACGGTCTCATATACAGAATATAGGACCTTTGGTTTGTGTTCTTGGATGTGATATAGCCCTCGGGCCTACGGCCCTTGGGCTATATCACATCCTCGAACACAAACCTCAGGTCCTATATTTTGTATATGTGACCTACTAGTATACTATATATATAATATACATATATATTGATATATATATGAATATATATCAATACATATGATGAAGAAATCTTTCCACTAGTGGAATAGCATACTTTAATGATTCTAGTTGTTTATAATCATGCTAAAATCAATTTAAAGGTAAATGTCACGAGATACACAACATGCAAGCTCTTTCCATTTACTATTCCATGATTTAAGTAATTTTTGTAGATGCAGAAGGTAGAGAGAGGTCATCATTAACTTCCGCCAGCAGTTCAGCTTCTTTCTTGTTTTATGAGATGCAAGAGAGGCTGGAGAACACTGCACAAAAGAGAAAAAGTTCACCGATGGCCATTTTTATTCATTAATAACTATTAATAAACTGTAATAATAACCATAGCAACGACAACACGGATCATGCACGGAATAAAATTAAAACGGGGAAGTTTCCAATCCCGGTCTGTGTAGTATATTTATGCCCGTGTCTATGGTTCAATTGATCAAGTGGTAGTTGGCAACGTAATAGGGGCGGGCTTAAATTGTATTTTGTAGAATACCACCTCCGTACACTATCGTATAGACCAGTTGGTGCTAAGTATATTCATAGAATTTTAAGTATATTCATTGTGATGCCGTAAATAAAGAAGAATTTTCCTTCCGCCATTTTGGAGTCCTACTTCCAATGGTTGTCTATGGAGCGATCGTGAAAAGAGCTTTTTCTCCAAAAACTGCTGTATTTATTCGATACAGCAGTATTGCTACTGCTTACTGACCATTATCCAGTGTCTAGAGTTGGCTCATGGACTTTAATAAGTGCCACTAGAAGATATAGAAGCAAAGATATTACTTTCTCCCATTCTACTCTTAGTAACTAAGACTCCAAAATGGCGGTAGGAAAATTTTACTTTATTTACGGTATCACGATGAATGTACTCAAAATTCTATGAATATACTTAGCGCCAACTGAGACTATCTATACGTAATGTCTATTGTCTTCCGCGTTGTCTTCTCACAGCCTGGGGAAACATGCTCAGTCGCATGGAACTTGCTCTTCTTGTGAAGTAATAAATTGATTTATAGTTAAGAGAGATTCATTATTTCTTTTTAGGTGCTGAGGAAAGAAAATGCCTCCTTAAAATCAGAGCTAGAAACTTTAAAGTAACTTAAATTATAGTCTGGTCCCGCCTCTTCGTTGCGCGGGGGTGGCGCAGAAGAGTCTGGTGACACTGCTACAGCATTTGTTGCAGCATAGATACAGTATAGAACAGGGATTGGAAACGGCCTGATATCACGTGATCCTTTCCTTAGCATTTCAATGAGACAACAAAAATTGTCAAAACAAGTGTAACTGTGTAAAAAATATTTCTATAATTGATTTCACCACCTTGCAAGTACAGCTTGGTCATTATTAAGACTTATAGAGGTTCTCTTTACCTTATAATGCTTCTAGAGAAGTCTTTAGACAGTATCTCTATGCTCTCTTGCTGTTAGAATGCTCTTAACTTTGTCCCATGTGTAAACCGCCATTTTGTTTGCTGTGGCCACACCCACTCACGTAAAGGAGCGAGCATGGGCAGGTGGTTGCTAAGGCTAACAGAGCACTCACAGGTTGATATATTTCATTATAATAATGAATTCTAAAATGCGCCATAAGGTACCTTTCAATTATGGTCACAATTATTAATAAAACTAAACATATTGTAAATAGAGGATATGCATGCTAAGTATATTCATTGCAAAATAAATGTATTCATTGCATATCGTAATAACTTTCAAGAAAAAAAATTAGTTCGTTGGACGTCAACTTTCCATTGGCAGCAATGGAGAAATGATAGAAAAAGGCTTGGTACCAGGAAACCGCTCTGTATTTCTTGATAGCAATCTTTCAGGTGACTACTAGACCCCATTAGATCCTCAGGATGCTTTCTAAGCTTCCGAGAAAGGCCTCAAGAAGGTAGCAAGGCAAGAAAAGGTGTTTTCCCCCATTGAACTCTTAATAAACTTGACGTCCAACATGGCGGCCAATTTACTGTGTGGGTTGGATATACGGTACTTAAAAGCTATGAATATACTTAGCACGCATATCCTCTATTAAAAGTTTAAAAGTAGTCAGATGTCTTTCTCATTGTTGTGGGCAGTCACAGATTTATTAGGAGAGGTACAGCAGCATCTCCAAGTAACTTATGGTGGGATCATCATCTATTTATCACCAAACTCCCAACAGACAAGAATAAAAAGACTCAGGTTCATCAAATTGTGTCTGTAGTTCAAGTTCCTGTATATCACTTGCTTATCCTTCATTCTATCATTGTTCAAGTTGAGATCTTGGACTTTTATTTGTCCAATTCTGAAACTATGTTTTTTTATTGTTATAATACTCAGTTCTAAAGCAGAAAAGTAGTAAGTATTGTTATTAGGAGGCATATATACAAATCCTACCTTCAAAAGCATAGCATAAAGGCTTAAGCACTGTAAAAAAGATATGGCTGCCTACTTGATCTTAGCATTTGTTGCATGATTATGCAGTCCTTCTCCTTACCTTTGTATATGTATGAAGTTAAGATAGCTTTATACTTTACCTATAATTGTATTAGCCTTTCCTTTGAGTCTTGTACATTGTTCAAAGTCTGTTTCCCACTTCTTCTTGATAGTAGCTACAGCGGCCATTTTATTTTATCCACCTACACGATAACTGCACATGGGTGGTAGTAATGGCGTCAAGTGCTCTTCAAGTGTCCATGTGCTTTGATTTTACTTCTCCTTTTCTATAACTGCGCTCTAGTTGTATCATATATCAAAATACCAGGGTTTTGGAAAGGATCATAATGCAAAAAAACCGCTGTCTGTAGCATTTAAAATAAGAAAGTTATTACATTATGCAGATTTAAAAGTCAAAGTGGCCCTAGTATAGGTGTGTTATGGGTTAAAAATAGACATCCAGAGATATTCTTCAGAAAAGTCTCGAGAAGGTCATCTGTCTAATGACTTTTTAAGATTTGAGTAGTCCCCATTCTAGGAAAACTTTGGCTGCATAAAGCTATCTTTCGAAGGTATTCTATAAACTGCGGGTACTCTTTGCAATAGATCCATTCTCGTATGATTTGAGATCTTTTCTCCCTCTAGCTTCTACATTGATGACACAACAGCTATTATGATGAGATGTCTAGATTGATGTGACTATTATCCAATGTACTGAGTGTTTTTAATCTTAATTTTCTCTTAAGCTGTGTTTTATTGAGGACATCAAGAATAGGTCGGACCTACGGTGGAATTTCTCCCTCTGGCAACTTCACTATGACTAATAACAAAAATCTGTGGCATTAGTATTATTCCCTAGAAATCTACAATGAAGTGACTATTTTTGTCCTGTGGATATTTGGAAAGCTGTTTCTACAGTGAAGAATACTGCCGTTTATTGATTATTTTTGATAAACTTGCTATGCATGCAACTTTTATTTGATTCCAACTATTAGTTTTTACATTATAGAATTGTTATCAAGTGTCAGTGATACTGCTGCGTCAAGAAATATGAAATAAACAGAGTTTGTAATTTTAACATCTATAGGGCAGCCATTTTGAATCAAATTAACCCGTCACGAGCATCAATCATTAATTATCCGAGTGTTCCCAATCCCTGTATACTGTATCTATGGTTGCAGAAAGGAATACAATAATTAGTAGTTATTAAAACATTCTGTCACACAATAACTTTCTTTTTGAGGCTTTTCCTGATAAGTAAGCCTCCTTGAATGAGGAGAGTGGCATTAGTAAAAGGTAAGAAGAAATCTATCAAAGTTCTAGTTAATTCAAGAACAGTATATGCGGGAGTGAAAACAGAAAATCGGTATACTTTTCAGCCAAGTTTAACACGAGAATTCTTCATATTCTTCTGTTACTTCCCCTACAGTTACTTTCTGTTCCTTTTCCAGCATTTATCGTATCTACAGCAGGTTTGTCAGTCATACTTGCAGCCATTTTGAATAGGTCACATGACAAAGTTTCTTCCACGTGAGTGCAGCAATCTGATTGGGACGCTCAATCCTGTGCTTAGTGCCACAAATTCTGTAGCAGTGTCACCAGACTCTTCTGCGCCACCTCCGCACAATGAAGAGATGGGAGGAGACTACTTAAATTATTAATTACTAGACGAATGTAAAACATTAAAGGGGCGAGCCTAAGCAAGCTATAGATTATGTGCTGTGTGAGCTACATGTTTGAGCTAGCAAAGCAATTGCACATGCTCTAAATTCAGTATCTTGTAGTCATCTTGCTTAAATTAAAGTTATCTTGCTTATAGTTAGAAGCAGTCACTGAACAAATCATGTTGGAAGATTGTATATCTGCTTTGTTAACCTAGGCTTGCTCCTAGAGAAGAAATATCACCTAGAATAGATCTCATGATGCATGCAGCTAGCAGTACAGTGCATGCAGTTTTCTCACTTACATTCACCTTAGCAGAATCCTTTATACCAAGGAAAAGACTGTATATCTGCTTTCCTAACTTTTATTCTTGCTAGAGAAGTTTCAGACAGCAGTTTAGCCTTATCTAGCTGACCGTTTCCTGCAAAATAAGCTCAGACTTGCTTATAGCTGCCATTTTATCATTGTAACCACACCCGCTTTTAATGTAGATTAGGCTATTTAACTTTAATAATAGTTAGATGGTCTGCCCATACAAACAAACAAACAAACGCTTTTTCGCCTCAGTGGGGTGAGCTCAGGCTCGCCCCAATAATTTTAATTGAGGCGAGCAAAAGTGAGCCCCACTAAGGCGAGAAAACATCTGTACGGGCAATATGATCGTCTAACTATTATTAAAGTTAATAGCTTAATCTTCATTGAAAGCGGGTGTGGACCGTGGTCATAATTAATAAAATGGTGGCTAGCAGCAAGTCTGAGCTTATTTGCAGCAAATGATCAACAAGACAAGACTAAACCGATGTTCAAAGACTTCTGTAGCAGCAAGAAAGGTTGGGACAGCAGATATACAATCTTTTCATTGATACAAAGGACTCTGATAAGCTGAATGCTGCAATGGAGAAAGCTGCATGCAAATGATTTCTGCTGCTGAGTCATCTCTAGCAGCAAGGGAGGTTAGCAAAGCAGAAGTACAAACTTCTTCAAAATACAAATTGTTTAGTGACTGCTTCTAACTATCTTCAATGCTATAATTGCTGCAGAGATTCTTAAGTCATGTTACATTTTAAAGCAAGATGACTAGAGTCTACTGTATTTTAGCCATGTACAGTTGCTTAGCTTGCTCATAAAAATTATACAGTACAAAGGCTTGCTTTTGCTCGCCCCTTTAATGTTCTACATTCGTCTAGTATTTTTATTTGTAGGGTTGTGCACTTAGTTAATAAAGGAGATGTCAGTTGAGAATTTTAGTGAGAGACGAGTCAATTTATTAAAAGCTCACATACTCCAGCTGGAGCGACAGGTAGGCCCCTCCTATTTTTGGATCATGTGACCTCAGTACAGTTATTAATATTGTCTGATGCTCTTGAGGGCCAGGTTCAATTGCTATCTGATCTTCAAGTTTACGGGGAGGCACTGGAATATAAGATAAAGTATGTTTAAGGAATTCATGTAGTGGAAGCACATGTATTGTTTTAGTGCTTTAATTGGGGCGAGCATGAGCAAAACCCACTTTAATCTGTCTAGGTCTATTTTTGTTACCTCTTGATCATGAACGACTTATAACTCAGGGTACTGTTGTTAATTTGGACTACACAGACAAAATTAATTTGAGGGTGTGGTCACAATGGGGCAATCTAAAGTATCTCTAAAGGCTAAAGAACTTGATAGCAGTTTGATCTACATGTATGACCCCTCTATATTTGTCCTCTCATTGATAGATTTAAGATTGTGAGAAGAGCTTGATTAGAAGTTTAGTTTCATTTCTTAAGCCAGGTTTACACTTGCAATAAATTAAATGTAAATGAACACAAAATTGAAGTTGGACCAATTTTACGTCAACTTCAATGCGTTTTTGCATTAAAAGGTCAAATTGTCCATGCACTTTTGACCATTTCAAAAGTTAGGATTGTACTTAAAGTGGCTGAGTGTAGCACCTAAAGCAACATGGGTTGATGTGATTAATGGACCATTCTTGTCTCTCTCTGGATTATTGGACTCGCCACACTTGCGTAGGTGGGTACTAAGCAGTTGGGTTGTCATTCTGTCCACACAGTTTAATTGATTTGTAAAAAATTATCTTTTTGTCTGAGCAGTCTAGAGCTATATTTCTTCTAGCAACAGATAAAGTTGCTTTCTTTCATCTAGTTATGCTTTTGTAGCATCCCATGACACCAAAGCCTAGGAACTGTTAAACCAGGAGATCTCTCTCCAAGTGAGAGCTCGTGTTTCACTCTACAGGGCCGAGATTTGCTTCAGAGGTAGAAAATCCCATCTAACGAAAAACAAAAAGAACGATTTTGTCCCAACTTCATTGTTTGTGAGTTACAGTTGCTCAAAGTTTGTGAATTAGCCTCTTTGAAAGTTTTTCAGGCGGTAGTAGGGAAAGCAGGAGCAACCAAACTCTTTCAGTCTCTTTTAAATATCTAAGGCCTGGCCTACACGACTACGTTTTAAAGTAAAACGGATATATTTTTAGTCGGATAAGGGTCTCGTTTACACTAAAACACAAGAAAACGCATATCAAATCCGAACAAAAGAAAAACGAATACCAAAACAGATAAGTCTATAAACAAATGATAAAGTCCAATAACTTGAAAACGCAGCTGCTGGATTAGTCAGTGTAAACACCTGAAAACAGTAATAGCAAAAACATGCAGATTAGGCTAGCGTCGTCGTGTAAACGAGGCCTTAGACAATTTTTTGTGCCAACTCTTTTTTTGAATAGAGCTTCAGATGCTAAAATAAATTTCAGCTTTTCTTCTTTCTCCTACCCATGTGCCATGATTTAGTTAGTTTTTGACCACACCCTCAGCTTATTTTAATTATCATAACTATGCAGTCAATAATAATAACATTTTTCAAATTACTTAAAATATCACAGTACAAGTAACACATATCACTCCAGGTGAATTCCAGCGGGCAAGTCCATTGCATCATAGTGCTTCATTTTGGTTGTGTTAGTTGGTGTGTTTTCTCTGTTCAGACCCAGCCATGAGGACAGGGTCTGAATATGCATGCAGGTAGACTAAGAGCTGGATTGATTTATTTATTTTAAAGGAGTACGGACATGGAAGTGCATGCATGCTATGGCTTCACATGCACAAGCAAGAATACGGACCAATAAAGGGTGTGGCATTGCGAGCCATGTGATACAATGGATTCTGGATTTTAAATTGTAAGTGTCTCCACAGTGATTCCTTTTCATACATACACTTACTGAAAGATTTCTAGCCATATGATGCTCAGCACCAAGCCTGAAGTATTAGCGTTTTTAAGTACACTCGCTAAAATTAAGTGTTGCAATTAATACCCACCCTAAGGTAGTGCCAATATAGTGCATACATGTATAATGCTAATGCTACTACATGTACATTAATTGTATTACAATATGTACATTTATGAGTAATTTGTTAATGGCAAATAGCATTCTTTGTTTAATTTATTTTTTTAGAAATAAAAAGCCAATTGCTGAAGATGCAACACGTTTGAGAAACTTGAGTTAAATCAAAAGTAAAAACCTTCTATCTCTCTCCTATTCCCCCCCCCCTCTCTCTCTCTCAAGGTTTATGTCCCAGAGAAGATGTTGCTCTACCTTTAGTGTATACTGGTGGATTATCAAAGCCACTCACAATATTGGACTCTTTATCTAACAAAGATAATATATCACTTAGAGAAATAGTGAGTACTGATGAGTACATGTGCCAATGTATTGTGTGCTTACTGGGAAAGAATTTAGTGATACATGTACATGTACTTATGTTGTGTGGAAAGTTTGAATGGATTCCGATTAAAATTGGATTTTTTATGAACATTTTAAGCTACAGTGTATTCAAAAATTGAGCCAATTTTTTCAAAAATTAAAAGATGAAAATCCTTCATTTTTATAATTTTATTTGATACATATACAATTTTTTATGTTGTTTAGAAAGTTTGAATGAATTCCGATCAAAATTGAATTTTCTAAGAATTTTTAAAGTTACTCAAAAATCGGACCAAAGTCCCTGTACTGTAGTACAGGGTTATTGGCCAAATTTTGCCAAAAATTAAAAAGTGAGAATTCTCTGTTTTTATGACTTTATCTGATACATACATGTACATGTATATGTTCTTATGTTGTGTAGAAAGTTTGAGCTGATTCCAATCAAAATTAATTTTTACGAATGTAAAAAATTAAATTTTTTACATTTGTAAAAAAATTTTAAAAAATTTTGTCATTTTTGCCAACTGAATTTTGTCAAAAATGACAAGGTGAGAATCCCCATTTTTATTGCATTTTTTGATGCATATACATGTACCGTAAATCCTTAAATAGAAGCTGCATTCGAATAAACGCCGGGGTAGCAATAGAATTAAACTATAAATACGCAACACTACCCTGGGAGTGACTCAGTAGTCTAGTGGATAATGCCTGAAGTTCCACAAGTCAGAAGCATGAGGTTATGGGTTTGAATCCCGCTCTGGGCTGAAGTTTTTTTATTTTTTGTATATTTTTTCAAGATCCAAATACCATTTTAGGAAATAGACGCCCGGGTTTTTATTTAAGGAAATACGGTACTTATGTTGTGTGTAGGAAGTTTGAGCTTATTCTGATCAAAATTGGATTTTTTATAAATTTTTAAAATTTTTCAAAAAAGCTGGTCAAAACTGGCTAGGAGAGAATTTTCCATTATTTTATAACACATGTACATGTATGTTTTTGAACCAAACACTATGCCAAAACTCTGTTGGAAAGAGTCCCATAATCCTACCAAATTCAAAAGTAACTAATGACTATTATTTATTTTTAAATCCAGAGTTGGATGGAGAGTGAATTATCAAAGCTACATAACCAGTTACAAAGGCTTCATACCTCCCTCTCTTTATTACTAAAGTGTACTCCAGTACTACCTACTCTAAAGGAGGTTGATCCTCTTTATAAACTGCTGGACCACTCAAGCATTGAAGTGTCTGGTACAATGGATCTGTCATCAACTGTATCTCAAGAACTAATGACCCTATCACTAGCTATACCTGGGGTGAGTAGAGAGAGGGAGGGAGAGAGAGAGTGGAGGAGAGAAGGGGGAGAAGGAAAGAGGGAGAGTTAATTGTTTTAGAGTGGTCTTGTGGTTGTATTGCTGATGAATGTGGGGGTTTATGTGATCAGGTGGGCCATGCTTTGAATTTTTCTTGTTTGTACTTGTACTTGAACAAATTGGAATTCTAGGAAGATATGTACCTGTACATGTACTTTTCATGCATTGACTTGGAGTGAACAGGTGGACCATGTCTTAAATTTTTCTTGATACATGCCTGTAGTTGAACAGTAGTAGTTATAGTAGTAGTAGTTGTTGTTGTAGTAGTTTTTCTCAGAATTTTCAGATGTGTACTTGTACAAATCAGTTCTAGGAAGAGCAAGTTCATGTGCATTGATTTGTAATTTTTGTAGCAAACTCCACACAAGTTGACTAATGAGTGCATTACTGACACTGAAATGGCTAAAAAGGAATTATCTTCAGCTAAAGACAAGAAAATAACAAAGGTATACAGTAACAATAATAATAACAACAACAGCAACAACAATAATAAATAAATTATCATTGATAGCACAATTCTATAGGTAATAGTTAATACATGGGGCGGCATGTTCTATCTGATTTATCCGCACGAGCTTCTGGTCGAGTCGCTAAAATAGCGCACGAGGCCGAAGGCCGAGTGCACTATTTTAGCGACGAGACCGGAAGCGAGTGCGGATAAATCAGATAGCACACGACGCCACATGTATTAATTGTTTTAGTATATAGTTCCAGCAAAGATTGCACGTGCTCTGCTATCACTGATATCACACTGCTGCACATTAAATAAATGAGTGTGCTATTTATAATATCACACTGCAGTATTGGTGGGAGTGTTCTGTGGGTTTTATCACAACTGTTAGGCCTTTGATCTTTGCTGCAACTATACATTAAACATTATTAGAGACAATACTAAGAACACTTGAAATAATAGAATCAAGACAAGCTGACCAGGTATACTGCAGTATGTGTATTATGATGGATTGCTCATCTCTATTTCTTTTAATGATAAGTTGAAGGCTCAAGAGGCAGAAATAATCAGACAGAAAGAGAGCATGGAAGATTATGTGAAGTACATTGAAGAATTGTTTCTTAGCATTAAGTAAGTGTATCGGATAATGTATCAGTTTGGTATGCATGTACTATAGTAGTGGGAGTAGTAGCTAATATTAATGAGTACATGTATGTGTTTTTATTTTGTAGGACAAGTCATAAAGAGTTCATGAGGGATTTATATCATAAGATTGACTTCCCATTAAAAGGTTTGCTGATAGAGTACTCTTTATATGCTATTGATTCATGTATACTTCTAATGTGTATAGTCGGTTTCATTTGAGTTGCCACAGGAAGTAAATCAATGTTTGCATCATAAAACGTCATTCCTAGCCACACCCAAAATGGTGGCAGAGTGCAAGTAAACTCTTTTATGGAGCGTTTCTTCACCTCTAAAACCTTTTATTGTCTGTTTTATCCTTGCTTTGGATACCACTGCCTTTAGTTATTACTGGCTAGACCTTCTTTCTGTTATAAAACTGACAAAGACCTCGGATACGGAAGATAGCAACCTAGGTTGAGTCTAATGAAGAATAACGGCGATCAAGAAGGCTGTAGACAGGTATAGCAGCTGTTTGCCAGTAGTATAGACTGCTAGTTGAATGCCTGCTTCTTTAGAGGACCTTATCTGTCTGTTTTTATTTTATAAAATAAAAAACATTAATTTTGTTAAAATAATAACAAGATGCAAATGATATTCACGAGTGTGATGTAAGCTTGAACGTAATGATTCATCATGGCGGCTCCCTTTGAACTAGAGCGGAAGAACCCATTCAGAACCTTCCAGAGTACCTAGAGACTCAAAAATTGCTACAGATTTTCGGAAGAACCCGTTATGCAACTATACTAAGTTTCAGGTTGCTAGCATTAGTAATAAAAAAGTTATAAGGGGTGGTGCTTGGGCAACTCAACTGAAACCGACTATATAGCCTATTGCTATAAACCTCATTTATAGATTCACATTGATCTTGAAATAGAGTTAAGTTTTATTCAGCATTTTGTGTGAATCAAAAGATCAGCACTTCATTAAAAGTTGTCTTTATGCTGGCCCAGAGTGTCATAATATATTTTGAACTACTTTTATTAAGCCTTTTCCTCTCTCTCTTCAGATCTTACAGCTCATTATTATCATTTAAAGGCCAGCAACAGTTCATTGGAGATATTAGAATCATATATTTATGAAGTGAGAGATAATCAGTCTGATTAGCTATTTCTCCTCCTCTTTCTGTAAACCATAATCCTGATCAAATAGTTAAATGACTTTTGTAGACAGTTAAAGCAAATATCAGAGAAAGACTCAGAGTCATTATTAGGTGAGTATTAGTCTTAACTACGAGCTATGTGCCCTTACTGTTTACTGTATTGGATGTGCATAATTAATATCTTATTGTGTATCTTGATACAGGTGTATTCAGTGAAATGTCATCACAAAGTACAAAGATGAATTAAATCTCATATCACTTCTAAATTAAAATTAAATGATTATTATTAATTGTATATGCACATACAAAAGACTTTAAATGAGAATTTAAAAAATTAATTTTGAGGAATACTTTAATAATTATGGTCACTGCTTTAATAGCCAAAACTATATTAACTAATAATAATAATAAATTATAGATAATTAGCAAAGGATTAAAACAAGTCAACAACTGATCCACGACTATTACTGAGTCTAACTTCAGTAGAAGTGGGTACAATTTCTCTCATTTGTTGATCAACAGATTTGTAGGATTCATCTTTATCTTGCTTCTTGAACAACTTCTTAGTTAGAGCATCATTACATTTTATATGTGATAACTGCAGGTAAAGATGATAAACAACAATCAAAATGAAACTAAGTATAAAAACAGATAGACAAGTATTGTACCAGATCAATATTTTATTCTCATTAGTAAAGGCTATAGATAAAGAAGCCATGATGCACAAGTTTAAGAGAAACCAAAATTCAATGACATTGTTTAATTTCTTTTTGTACACACCACCAAAAATAAAACTAAGGGAGAGGATAAGAGCTGCTACTGCCAATAGCAAGACACGTGATTCATTCTGCAAAAAGGTGACAATTAAAAGTAGTGGTATCCTAGTCACTAGCAGTAGACCAGGCCAGAACCGATACTGATCTTTCATTGGACCACTATAAGCATCAATAATAGGCTTGAAACGACTCCAGCTCTTAAACAGCTTAAAATGTGACAAATACTTCTCAAGTACTGGATGACATAAAAGGAACAGTGTGTATGGTATGACAAAGAAAACAGACACCAATAGTGCAAACCCAAATAGTCCAGCATGCTTCCCTTTAGCATATTCAACATCAGGATCCTCATACCATAAACTAACTGATCTTACTGACTCATCATTTGTACAGTGAAGAGTTACCTCACGCTTGTGTAGTACAATAACAATAGTACGCACTATTTTAGTGTATGAGAGAAAAATAAGTGTTGATAGAACAGGAACAACATGAGACCCCATCAGTCTTGATATCTTACCATATCTCTTACACAATTGTATAATGATAATGATAATGATCCACAGGTAGAGAGGGAAAGCAAACTGGAGCCATTGTTTAGCATAACTGTCCATACCATTGTAAAAACATATCTCAAACCCAAAGTCTAAGTTAATCCATGATATCACTTGACTCAAGACTGGTAATGCTCCTTTCCTTGAAAAGACTGGCTCGTATAACTTGACAATGTTAGCATAGAACAATAGACCATTGAGTGTACCCACTGATACTGTTAAATTGAGAGCAATGAGTAGAACCACAAGTAGTACACCCATCACTGCAAACAGAGCAATCCAAGCTATCATCATGTAATTATTATGACACTGTCCACACTTGTTTGATCCCATTAGTAGACTGTATCCCTCTTTACATGATCCACACATTCTCTGTACTCTATTATCCACACATTGAGTATCAGTGTCATTCAACTGAAAGGTAACAGGATTAGGAGAACAATAGAGGAGGCAATCCTCATTGATAATGCATGCATTAGGATTGGTTTCATTAGCATTGAAAGGTGTACTGATACCATATGTTCCAATCCACAGTAGACCATTGTGTGTAATGTTTTGACTGTCTACATCACATGTCACATTCTCTCTTGAAACACTGCAATCACAAGCACCTGAACTGTTTACACTGAAACCAATGGGACACTCATTAAGAATGAAATGTGATTGAACTTTGTAAGGATAGTTTATGACCTCTATCATGATTTCATGTCTGGTGTATGTTAGTTTATCTGGTATGTATTCTATCAATGAACAATCATCAGTGATGTAGGCATATGCCATTGATACTTGATCAATTTTTATTAATACTGTTCCATCTCTTGGGGTAAACACACCTGTATTTGAAGTGGATACAAACAAAGTGACATTATATTGAAGAGGTTGACCTGAAAATACTTGTTGCTCATATTGTTCATGATTTTGTGACGTCCCATTGCTGTCAGGATCACAAAAAAAGAATCTAACTGGATTGCTTGATACATTAACCTTAGAGTTTGTCATGTTGAAATAATTGAATGAAAAGATAAACCCATATATATCATTTCCAGCTACTCCAGCAGTATTATTCTTTAATGTAAGAGGAATGGAGTTCGAGCCTTGTATAAATTGAAAGTCACTGTTCCCATCAATATGCATTCCTCCTCCTTTATAAGTTGCATGATTATCAATAAACTCCAAATTAGCTGATGGTGATAGGGCCACAACAGATGAACCATTTATTGCCATTCCTCCTCCAACTACTCCAGTATTATTCTTAAATACTAATCTATTTTCTACAGTTACTATAGAGGATTTAATCTCCAGTCCTGTTGATAGACTATTTGTAACAGTAATGTTATTTAAAAGAGAATGACACCTTATTATCTCATTTCTCCAGTTCCCAATAAGTTCAGTATCTATAATGCTAATATGAGTTGATGATGTTAATACACCTCGATCAATAGATAAACCATAAGAATTGTCACGTATTGAGCATGATTTAACAGTAATAGCAACATGATTATTACTAAATTGAATATGTGGACTTGTTTGAAAAATAAATCCATTATTACTATTGTTATGAAATTGGGTGTCTTGAATTACAATAGTTGATCGTGATTCAACACCTTTAATATTACAATAATATAATTTCAGTGGAAGCATGATGCCATCTGGCACAACAAAGTCAAGTCCAACATATGCCACAAATGAAAAAAAAATTCCACCCCCTGAATAAGATAATGATGAATTGGTAATATACAGAAAAGAAAGAGATTCTGTGAAATCATAATAAACACCATAACTTGATGTATTGATAATATTGACATCATCAAAAATAACTGATATATTATATGAGGTACCATGATCCATCCAAAACTTTATAAAAGAGTAATCATTAGTCGCAGTAACTGTAACATTAGTCAGTGTTAATGAGTAATGGTGTAACTCATTGTAACACACTGGAGGTAGGAAATAATGAATATGTAGATGTACATTATCAAAAACTGAAGTTGCTATCTTACTATCAAAAACATTGGTAAAATAAAAAAAACAATTGACAAACAAACCAGTAATCATAATATTACTTAAATATTCAAAACCTATGACACATTCTTGGAATGATATGTTACTGAAACTGACATGACTACTGTTACTGATGCTTATAGAATACCAATAATAACTTGAGCAGTTAATAGTAGGAGACTGTTCCAGTCCATGTAGAGTTATACTCTGTACTGAGTCCATTGTGACAGTAAAGTTAATGACACTAGTTCCAATGAAGTAGAAGATGGTGTTATTGTATTGAGACATATTCCCAGCATACACTGATAAAGGATTACAAGGTGACTGAGTAACTGAACTGCAGTTATCAGACACATAATACTGACCAGAGGAGACACTGCAGGAGCTACTGAAGAATAAGAGAACAACCACTAACAGGAGAGACATAGCTACTGTCTGTACTGACTGACTAGTGTATACTTGCAGGCTGTGAGTGATGACTTATATGGACTATAGTTGTTCTCCAAATATGGAAATCTGATGCATAGTTGTGATGATTAGATTTAATCTAATTAGTACAATACAACTATTTACTATATTAGATACAAGTCCTTCTTTTTAGTCTAAATTTAATAGATGGTATTTATAATCATGTATACTAATTCTTTAATTTATGATCTAACACAATTCTTTAAAAAGAATATGAGATAATTAAAGAAATATTAATTGACATGATAATAGTCTCATACTTGTAGTGCAGCTATTGCTTTGTCAGTATCTGCTTCACTCAATCAGTTTGCCTTAGTCTATATCTCTCCTACTCCATTCTCTCATCTTTACTATGGACTGCATGGTAATCATACTTACATGATAAGTCATTATGTGTACAATCACAGACATACTCTATCATTATATGACTGTACATTGAATAAATACTCTACTGGTATATGGCAATGGTTAGTCATGAGTGAGGGACAGTGAGACTCTAGAGGAGAGTACTGAGACTACCATAGTTGATGACAATCTGCTCAGTTTGCTGACTAGTTTGCTCAGCTTTGCTTCATTACAGATGAATGTAGTGGATAATGAAGTTATGTGATTGAATCATAAGAACATTCATATGTATTAGAAAAATTATGAAAACAGACTTAACAGAGCAGTTTTGTCACTGTTTTTGGCAAAATTTGACCAATAACCCTATGATAGTACCACTTTGCCCAATTATTGAGCACTGAACTTTAAAAATTCATAAAAATTCAGTTTTGATTTGAATTATTGAAAGTTTTTATACAGCATAAGAACATGTATATATATATATATATATATATATATATAATTATATATATATATATATATGCGTATCAGAAAAAGAAATATAGTAAAACTTGAAAGAAAAGAATTCACACCTTTTCATTTTTGGCCTACTACCGTAGATCTATTAGTACAGTGACCCAATTTTTAGCAACTTTAAATATTCATAAAAATGATCCAATTATTTAGAAATTTTTATTCAGCATAATAATTCTATTTTCTCTAGCTCTTCCACTGTTGTTGTTCGGTTGGTATGGCAATTACGTAATACTAATAGGGGCGGGGCCGCGGGGCTTAAATTGCATTTTGTGAACCTCCGTACACTATCGTATACGTAACATCTTCTCACAGGATACATGCTCAGTCACATGGAACTTGCTCTTCTTGTGAAGTAAATGGTTTTATAGCTAAGAGAGACTCTTTATTTCTTTTTAGGTGTTGAAGAAAGAAAATGCTTCCTTAAAATCAGAGCTAAAAACTTTAAAGTAGTTTGTATAATATTTATTATTTTGAATATTTTTAATTTTAGGCCCCACGGTGGACTACACTCAGTTAATAAGGAGACATCAGTTGAGAATTTAATTTTCAGTGAAAGACGAGTCAATTTATTAAAAGCTCACGTACTCCAGCTAAAGAGACAGGTAGGCCCCTCCTACTTTAGATCATGTGAGCTCATTACAGTTATTAATATTATCTAATGCTCTTGAGGGCCAGGTTCAATTGCTATCTGATCTTCAGGTTTACGGGGAAGCACTGGAATATAAGATAAAGTATGTTTAAGGAATTCATACAGTGGAAGTACATGTACATGTACATGTATTATTATTGTGCTTTAATGAGGAAGTGGTTATTGATTGCAATTTTCCAATTACTGACTGATTTACATGCTCAATAATGTACATGTACTGTATATCCTCCAATAAAGACCGGGTTAGCAATAAAATAGCAATACTTCCTTAAGCTTCTTGAAGTCATTTGCTTGATGTCCCCGGTTGGAATCTCACTGTTGGCTCAAATTTTATTAAAAATTTTTTTTGAGGTCCAAATGTCATTTTAAGAAATAGACACCTGGGCTTTTATTTAAGGAAATATCAAATACAGTACATCTGCCGTATGGTTGGTAATTTTTGTGGGGAATTAATTTTTGTTAATTTCGTGGTTCATTTTTGTCCATGAAATTTTAACCCATACCACCCACACATTAAAAACTAATTAACGGGTCATGCAGAGCTTTAACTACTGTTTCCAAGTGAGTGGAGGAGCCAGAGTCTTTGTCTATTACTCCATATTCCACTATAAGCCATGTGTTGGAAGCTAGTGCTGTAGAATTCAAGTGAAAAGAAGTCTGCTAACTGCCAGCCATGAATATTTGTACCCATGAAAATTAGCTTTTAAGGAAATTTTTGGAGAAAATGGGAAATATTGGGCCCTTAAAAATTACCAACCATACATTATATTAAAGAATTATTATTAAAGAAGAAGGTGCGGTATAAAAGGCAGTGCCCTGGGCATGGTGGTTTTTGTTTTTTACATGTCTAAAAATGTCTGCCCTGGATGGTGTTGTAGATATTTCTTTAAAGAAATACGCAAGAAGAGAGGGTTTTTGGTACCAAATGGAGCTGAATTTTGCTCACGATGAAGATAAGGATCATTTTATAGCTAGGCTTGATTGAGTTAAGGGCTCTTTAGCTACTAAGAGGAGACGGCCTGTTGACAACATGGAACTGCTATGTCACTTGCTCGATCTAGTTGAGGAGGATTTTGAGGTTGAGTCACATGAAACAAGTAGTTCTTCTGCTATGCTGAATACCTCAGGTAGTTATAATGTGTTTAAAATTAAATGATTAGTGATGATATTAAATAAGGTATATACACTGGTGATAGGGATGAAGAGCAGCCATTGTTTGTGTGTCAGGGATCTGCTTTTGAGGATTTGGTTTTGGGTATGACACGTTGGTATACGTGTGGCATGATCAACCAAAAGATGATCAGTTACAGACAGGTATCTTAGAGTATTATTTCATAATTTATTTTTATTGTTATTATTGTTCTAGTTCGGTCACGTGATTCGTGCTGAGTTTCAATGTCAGTCGTGCAATTGAAAGGAATTGTGGGCCAGCTCAAGTTTATTAGGCAGTAGATACCTAATTAATCAGAAATAAGTATAAAGTGTAATGCAAAGTAATGGCATTAATATTACTTTAGGCTCATACATGCATTTACTTGTGCTGGAATACTTCCATCACAATACTACCATTTCTGTAGATTGGCATCTCTTGGTACAGTTGGGAAGAGGTACACTGATTCAGGTAGTTTTAGTTTTGAGCTTCATTGTAGCACTGTAAATGTGTTTATTATAGTATATAAGTCAAAGGGAGATATAGCTGCTATTGAAAGTTGTGCCGAAGCATCAATGATGGAGGCAATTGATGAAATACAAAGTCAACCTCGGAATATGAGACTAATGGAGAGGTACAGTATATTAATAATAGTACATCATTATTATTATTAATTCATAGTGGGTCATTACTGATGCTAGGCATGACTCAACAGCTAATGCCTACCATACAACTGTCCCATGTCTTTCTGGAAGGTACATGTACTTATATCTGTAATGTATTTTACTTCACTTTGTACATCAATTATTTAGTATCCACAAGATTGTCAGCTGTGTGACACTTTCCAGAAAAGAACACACCTGCGCTCAGACAAGGGAGCTGCCTGTACAAAGGAAATGTTGCCATTAGTAATGTCAAAAGGTAATGAAAGATGTGAATGAATTTTTTAATCAAATCTGGAAATAGGATTGAATGTTATAGAGGTTGCTCACGATAATTCACTACCTGTTACATCATATGTGTGTATATTGTTGAGGAGTTAAGCTGAAAAACTCTCATGACACATGGCATGGTAAGTAGTTATACTTTTGTCTTCTTTCTATATGTTTGTAGGGACTAAGAATGTAGCAAAAGCAATGACATCTATAGCAACAGGAGCAAAGAAAAGGGCAGGTATAACTTGGTATCTAGTACTGTCAGATAAGAGTAAGGGACAATGGAAAACATGATTACATGTACATGTGTCGTAGGAAAGAGTACAAAGACACATCTGTACTACAGTATGAAGAACTGCAATAAGTCTCCAGAGAATCTACGGGACTCAATCACAAATATTGTGGATCATTGTCAAGTTAGATGTTTTTAGTATTAGTATGTTGATGTATGTATGTGATAGGGTAATCACTCCAACTGCAATCAGTCACGTACAATGTAGCTGTACATGTCCTGGGTATGCATTATCAAAGAAGCTAATAACTGACCCCAATCCACTGCTTGGTCTGCCAGTCATAGGACGGGGACAAGGACAAAGACCAAGGGGTCTTGTACTGGAACCACTAGCCAAAGATGATGGCTGACTGCTGCTGGTAGTGGTTCATTGTGTAGTGGTGAGTACTACATCTTCACCACTAGCTTGTATAGCCTGCCTGACAGCATCATTGACAGCCTGTGTTAGGCTGTCAGACAGATCTTCAGAATATATAATTTGAATCTTGAGAAAAAACATTTATGAAATTTGATAATAATTTTTTGACTTCAAGTGAACTACTGTATAACTCTTCATTTTGGTGGCACTTTATTTTGGCAATTTTGCTGTAAAATTGTAATTGGCGGTTTTTAATTTGGCGATTTTTGTGTACATGTGCATTACTGAGCATGCGCATTAATGATTGGCGGTTTTAATATTGGCGATTCTGCTTGCAAACCGCCAATCGCCAAAATAAAACTCCACCAAATTAAAATGTTATACGGTATACTGTTTAGCTTGTGGCCATGCTGTCTACATGTGCTTGTAGGTTTATAGCCTCGCCTTTACAACTTTTCATGTTATTATGATGTGTTGTGCTACTGATTGAACCATGATAACAGCCATGCCATTGTGGTAGTCATTTTGTAACTTTCAAATGTCAAAATGTGGCCACCATATTGTGCCCAGGGCACCTCCTTTTATACTATGATTGACAGAAGCGATTTCATGACGTTATGTCAATAGTTTCATAGTGCACCTTCTTGTTTAAAGCAAAAATTGTTACATGTACATGTACATGTTTATGTGCTTATAATGCTAATGCAACTACATGTACATTAATTGTAATACAATATGTGCATTTATGAGTAATTTTTAATTGCAAATAACATTCTTTGTTTAATTTATTTTTTAGAAATAAAGAGCCAATTGCTGAAGATGTAACACGTTTGAGAAAGTTGAATCAAAGGCTTAAAAAAGTAAAAACCTTCTACCTCTGTCCTATCTCTCTCTCTCTCTCTCTCAAGGTTTCATGTCCCATAGAAGATGTTGCTCTACCTTTAGTGTATACTGGTGGATTATCAAAGCCACTCACAATGTTGGACTCTTTATCTAACAAAGATAATATATCACTTAGAGAAATAGTGAGTACTGATGAGTACATGTGCCAATGTATTGTGTGCCAAATTTTTTCAAAAATTAAAAGATGAAAATTCTTCATTTTTATAATTTTATTTGATATATGTGACCATAATTGACAAAAGGTACCTTATGGCGGATTTTAAAATTCATCATTAAAATGAAAAATATCATCCTGTGTGTCCTCTAATGGACAGGCATTGTTTCTAAAAGTTACATAGGAACTTTTTGCACCCTTTGGAGTAATTTTATGATAAATGAAGCTCAGGAAGTTGGATTTTTTTGGCTATAAAGTCAAAATTCACTACCCGCCATAAGGTACCTTTTGTCAATTATGGTCACATATATACAATTTCTTATGTTGTGTAGAAAGTTTGAATGAATTCCGATCAAAATTGGATTTTCTGACAATTTTTTAAGTTACTCAAAAACTGGACTAAAGTCCCTGTACTATAATAGTACAGGGTTATTGGCCAAATTTTGCCAAAAATGAAGTGAGAATTCTTTGTTTTTTTATGATTATATTTGATACACATACATGTTCTTATGTTGTGTAGAAAGTTTGAGCTGATTCTAATCAAAATTAGATTTTCTAAAAATTTTTAAAGTTACTCAAAAATTGGGCCAAAGTCCCTGTA